AAAATCCTTTTGCAGCTCAAGCAAAGAGGGACATTGGGTAGAAGTCAGGCTCCTGAGAAAGCAAGTAGAAACAATAGAGCCATGTAAACTTGGGGAAGATCAGAAGCCATGTCTCTTCCTAAGGGTGTATTTTGTTCCATGAGCCTGTTATTAATTTTTGGGGCAGATGTTAAGGAATTAGATATTGCTGTGACAACAGTATTTATAAGACTGATAAACTCCCCAAAGAGATCTTCACTAAATTCCTTCAGTAACAATGCACTTCATCCTCGTGGTCACTTGTGGTTTTGTTTTTTGCCCTTAGGTTAAGAAGGACATTAAAACAGGCCACTCCAAAGGCTTTGGGTTTGTTCGGTTCACGGATTACGAAACCCAGGTGAAGGTGATGTCACAGCGGCACATGATCGATGGGAGGTGGTGTGACTGTAAACTCCCCAACTCTAAGGTACTTTGGGTTTTACTGCTGCTTTCATTGGTGCTGAAAGAAAAGAGGGAGGAGGTGGGTGAGCTGGGAAAATAGCTGGTTATGTGAGGCAATGATGAAAATCTGGAAATAGTGTGTTTAATGTCCAGCAGTACCTGCCTAACTTGTCTGCTGCATGAATAAATGCAGAATAAAGCAGCTGGAATAACTAATCTAAGGAAGAGCAGAATGAGTCTTTGAGTGCAGAACTGAACCTGTAGCTTTCAGTGCCTCTATAAGCAGTTATTACCAAAAAAGTGTCTTGCAGTGGCCTTGTCACTGTCCCTGTGTGTTTTCCCACCCTCGTTTTCTTGTGGCTGCAGGCACGTTCTTGGAATAGAATTCCATTTATTTTTTAAACTCCTTTTACAATCTCAAACTTTCTTGATCTTCAGCCCTCAGAACAGGCCAGATTGAGGGGGGCCTTCATCATCCTGTGACTCAGTTCTGCAGGGTGGTTGTGATGTTTTTGTCCTTCCCATCTCTGCAGCAGAGTCCCGACGAGCCTCTGCGCAGCAGGAAGGTGTTTGTGGGGCGCTGCACCGAGGACATGACGGCAGATGAGCTCCGACAGTTCTTTGCCCAGTATGGGGAAGTGGTAGATGTCTTCATTCCTAAGCCCTTCCGGGCTTTTGCTTTTGTTACGTTTGCAGATGACCAGGTAAGTCATATTTTAACTTCATATTTAGCCTGCATTTCAGTAGCTTGATAAAGTATCATTTCTGGAACTACACATGAAAACTTACTTGTCCACTGTCTTGAGGATTCCAGTGGTGTTAGCTTGATCTGACTTATTGAATGGACTGAGGTTACACTTCCAGACAGCTTTTTATACTGCAGCTAGTGTAGTGGTGAATGCAAAGATAAAACACTTCAGATCGGATTAAGTACATGCTTGTGCTTCCTTTGCAGGTTAAATATCTGCTCAGAATCATGGGGGATGTTTTGTCTTGTACTACTAACATCTAAAAAAAAGACGTCTAACATGCATTTAATCAATCCCTTATTTCTTATAGGTTGCCCAGTCTCTTTGTGGAGAGGACTTGATCATTAAAGGAATCAGCGTTCATATATCCAATGCTGAACCTAAGCATAATAGCAATAGACAGTTAGAGAGAGGTGGAAGATTTGGTGGTAACCCAGGAGGCTTTGGGAACCAGGGGGGGTTTGGCAACAGCAGAGGAGGCGGGGGAGGACTGGGCAACAACCAGGGCAGCAACATGGGTGGGGGGATGAACTTCGGGGCCTTTAGCATCAACCCTGCCATGATGGCAGCGGCGCAGGCGGCCCTGCAGAGCAGCTGGGGCATGATGGGCATGTTGGCCAGCCAGCAGAACCAGTCGGGGCCCTCGGGGAACAACCAGCCCCAAGGCAACATGCAGCGGGAGCAGAACCAGGGCTTTAGCTCAGGCAACAACTCGTACGGAGGGTCCAACTCGGGGGCAGCCATAGGCTGGGGCTCGGCCTCCAACGCGGGCTCCGGCAGCGGGTTTAACGGAGGCTTTGGCTCCAGCATGGATTCCAAGTCCTCAGGCTGGGGGATGTAGACGCAGTGGGCTCTGATACTGACTCTATGGTGGGAAATCAAATTTTTCTAACTCATGGTAAGTATACTGTAAATTACATATATACTAAAGTTTTCCAAATCAATTTGTTCAGTGTGCAGTATATTCAGCAGTATTTTTGACATTTTTCTTTTTTTAAAAAAAAAAAAGAAAAAAAAAAGAAAAAGAAAAGAAAGGTAAAAGGAATTTTCTAAGTTTTGTTACATATCTAGTTGGAATTCTGAATGTTTGGAAGTGGACTGCTGTTTGCCCGACAGGTGAACTAACACTACAGTCGATAGGAAAGGTTTCTCCTGTAATACTTTATCCCTTGTTTCCCGGCTACCTGAATTCTTTGCATGTTCAAAATGGAACCATTGGTCAGAAACAGCATTCTCTCCCTCTTGTTTTTAATTTGATCCCACCATAAGACTCTCCAAGTGCCCCGTTGGACAACACAGTGTCGTTTTTGTTTTGTGTTTTTGTTTAACACTGTCTCCCCTCCATACTAAAGTACGATATGAAGGCTTCATTTAATCTCCGCAGTTCATCTCATTTCAAATGTGTATGGAAGAAGCACTTCATTGAAAGCAGTGCTGTAAATATTCTGCCTTAGGAATACTTCTGTCTACATGCTTTCTCATCCAAGAATACTTCATCACACCGCACATGCTGCGTCTTAGACGGTGGGTGTTCCATTTTTATCCGCTACTCTTTATTTCATGGAGTCGTATCAACGCTGTGAACGCAAGGCTGTGAGATGGAACCAGAAGGCTGTTTGAACTTTTGAAACCTTGTGTGGGATTGGTGGTGGTGCCGAGGCATGAGAGGGCTGGTATGTGCGAGATAAAGGAGCGAGCGCATGCAGAGACCTGGTGGTGCAGTAATGGGATTTTATTTGACTTGGCGAGATGTCTCTCAATCCTGTGGCTTTGGTGAGAGAGTGTGCGGAGAGCAATGATAGCAAATAAAGTACGAGTGTTTATTGCATTCAAAGGACATCCACATGTGGAAGACTTTAAGTGGGTTCTCTACCTAGTTAATCAATTAGTTGAATGTGTTATGTGAAATGGAATATTTGTATTTCTTTTCCCTTATGTCAACTGCTGTGAATGCTGTATGGTGTGTGTTTTTTTTCTGTTAATGATCTGTAAGTGTGGTAATGTGACTTGAAGACGATGGGGTTTGTGATGAGAACATTGAGCTTGTGGTGTGCTTTGCAGTAGCTCTTGTAGCAGAGATCACTAGAGCTCAGTGTGCCTCTCCAGGGTGGAAGTTCCACTGTCTGTAAGATATCCATAAGAATGCTGTTTGCTGCAGTTTCGTGTTTGGATGCTTTTTATAAGATTTGTCACTGTAGGAAATTCTTAAATAAAACTGATTTAAGTAATATGTGTCTTTGTTTTGCAGCCCTGAATGCAAAGAATTCATAGCAGTTAATTAATTTTACCCTTTTGAGATGAACTTCTGTAAAGCTTTTTGCAGTCACTCGGTTTGTTTCAGATAAGCAGGTTCTAAAGGAGCCACCGCCACACCTCTAAGCCACTGTACCCTTGCACTGTGCAGTGCCATAGATCTAAAATCCAGGTCCCACACCTTGGGGAGCCCGCACCTAGACTGGTAAGCAGCTCCCTCCAGCTTCCATCTGTGCCAAGGACTCAGAATTGCTCGGTTAGGAGTCGGAGTTCCTCATCAGGAGGGGAGTTGGGGGAGTCAGACGCTTGCTGTCCACAGCACCTCCTTTGGGGATGGATGTTTTTAACTTGTTTTTAGACCAGCCCACTCATGGGAAACAGGCTCCTGCCACACTTCCAGCCCAGAAGAACACTAGTAACTCCTGGTGAAACTAGTCAGGAAAAAAACTTCCAACTGAATAAAGCACCAGTTAATATAAATAAGCTGATAAATTCTGAGTCTGAAAAACTTAAGTTTTTGACAAGTGCAGAGGTGTCACATAAGGGGCAGCTTCTTAAGGAAGGGCCGGATGTTTGAGCAGAAACTGGTGGAAGGGAAGTTCCGCTGGTGAGAGGAGCTTGAGGAATTGTTTCACCTACTTGGGCTTGAAACCCACTGATCCCTATTGTTCTGTGCACCATAATCCTGTGCTGGAGCTGTGAACAGTCTGAACTGGGGTATTTACACAGTTTTTAACCTATGTAACTTTTCAAGTGAGATCTTCATTACTGTGTATCCTACTGAGGCTTGTGAAGGGCAGAGCACCTAAACAGCAGACAGAAGTGCACGGCTGAGTTTTCCACCTGCAGTATGAAAAAATCAGCTGTATCTCGATGTACTTGGTTTAAAGAGGGTTTCTAAACACTCAGGCTGAGAAGTAATCCCACACCTTTGTTCATATTCCACTGCAAAGTTGCTTACATTTTTTTTTTCCTGCACCTAAGTCGGAATAATCTCCAAACTCTGTCCCATCTGTGAATTTTGCATTTTAGCACTTGCACAATTACCAGCTACTTCTGCTGAGTAACACTTAAAAATGGTATTCTTGGACCTCCAAAGACTAACTGTGACCCCCTGCAAGGAACTTCTTGGTAAGTTTTTGTAATTAGCATGGTTTTAATTCTGTTTAAATTGTTCAGGCTTAGGTTTTAAGTGGCTGGTTGGCAGCATTGAGTAGTCTTTGCTAATCATTTTAGCCTTCCTTCACCCTCAAACAAAATACCTGAAAATTTTAGAGTAATTTTCAAGTTTCAGTAGCATTTTTTAACTGCTTTGCATACTCTAGTGTTTATAAGTAAATAAACTATGATTGAAAATACATTGAAGTGTTTCGAGTCTTGATTTTTTTAAAGATACTTCATTTTCAATTATATTGTTCTGGAAAGTGAAACAATAATGAAAGAATGTGAGATACAAGGAAGCAGAAGTTTATATTGTAAGGGGGATATATAATTTTTTAAACTATTTATTTAAACATTTTTAAACATTTTATAAACATTTTTTTTCTGACATTGCTTTTAATTAATTCTGAGAATCTGTTGCAGCTGTTCTGCCCTCTCCCCTCACCTGCTGTCACCTGAGATCCATCTTCTCCTGGTAAACAAACAGGTGTAAGAGTGGTACTAACTGGGACTACCTGCTCCACTCTAACCAATACCATTATCAAAGTGGACAAGATCATTTTTATAACCTTCAGGAATTATTTTTGTCTGGCCTTCTTCATAGTGTTTGCTCAAAATCTCCAATGTCCTGCTCAAAGCTGAGGGGTTTCTTTGATCAGCTACACCACGAGCAGCTGTTGGAGCCCCGTTGTCACACACAGCTGATCCTCCTGATCCTCCTCTCCCTGTAATTACACCACTTGCCAGGGAAACTCTCCAGGCTCCCCTTGCTCCACGAAGTGCAAGACAACAAAGGCAGCCAGAGCTGTTTAACAGTTTTGAGATCTGAACACTGAATTATTGTGCTTATACGGATTAAATTAAGTTAATGGTTCTAAATGTAATTCCTAGATTGTTTTGGAATGGTAAAATTGCTTGCAAATGAATATTTGATTTAGAATACAATTTTCATTAGTAGTGCATCCCTTGGAAAAGTTCTGTAATCAAGAGAGACAGCACTGCTGAGGAATTTGGGCATGGAGAAGGAAATGCATTTGTTCTGAATGTAAATTAAGGTAATTGGAATATATGGATATTCTAATCTAAAAGATAAGAGCGACAATTATGCTATTACATTGTAAAATGTTTCTCCCAAAACTTAGTCTTGGATCCTGACTAATTTTACAGTGTAATTAATGTAGCAGTTCAGGCATTAAAAAACAAAATTCCCAACCCTGTACTGTGCAGCGAGGGAATGCAGTGGCTTTTCCCCTCACAAGTACTGCTAGAGCGTGGTTCAATCTTCCTGTCAGAAACAATGCCAAGCAGTTTAAAAGCAACAATTTAGTTAATTATGAAACTGCATTCTCCAAAAGAGCTGGAGTAAAGGAGGGTTCAGCTTTTTACTCTCTTCGAGGAGAACTGAACTGAGTTTTGGGCATTAATCTGCAATGCTGGCTGTGCTGGGGAGACTCAGGAAAGACCAAGGCATGTAAAATAGTAAATGGTTTAACAAATCTAAGGTCAGTATTAGCTATTACAGTCACACCATGGGGTTATCATAACATTTTCAGTTTTGTTGGTGTTAAACAGCACCTGTAGCACTTGCCAGTCTGAAAAATCAGTGTAACAAAGGTGGTAATTGATTGTTTAAATGAACATTCTGCACTGAAGTGGTTCTGCCTCGCCAGCTTAGAGGTACTAAAAGAAAGCCAAGAAAGCCACAGGGCTGTACCTGCTCCTGTGCAAGAGCAGGGGAGTAGCTGAGTGGGTGACTGTGCCCAGCCCAGCACGGGCAGGTCCCTGCAGGCAGGAGCTGAGGCACGAGCTGCAGTGTCTCCAGTGTCCATCACCACGTGGATCTTGACCTGCATCCCAGAGACAGCACAGATGAGAGCCAGGGACTAGAACAGCTGGGCTCTGGTTGACAGCAGGAGTGACACTCTACAGGCATCCTCAGACAACATATTTTAGGTGGCTTTTGAGTCCCTGCGGGCTCCTGAGAAGGTGACTGTGTCACTTCCCCCCCTCAGGCTATTCCCAGGATTTAATCTCTTAAATCCACTGATGGATTGGGAATGGTAAGAAAGCTCCCAGCTGTGACTGAATGAAGCCCACCTGGGTACCTTTCAGCATTGCTTACACAGCCTTACAAATCCTTCCCACAGGCAAAGCTCCAGGTGTGTCCAGGTAAGGCAGGGACATTCCCTTTGCACACCCCAGAGCCAAGGACCACATTTAATTAATTCCATGTTTAGGCCCTACCATTACTGTTGGCCTTTCCAGGGCAGAACAGGGCTTCACACTGGCCCTAAATTTTGTCACTGCATTTTCACACACCCCCAGCTCTCCCACTGTATGTGTGGAATCCATAACTCTCACATCAGTTCAGTTATTCTGGGTTTCTACATAAACAGTGCAGCTGTCAAATCAGACAGCCTAGAAAGTAACTGCTGAGTTAAGAGTGTGCCTCCCCAAACCACCATCACCTACCTGTGATTTTAAAGTTCCATAAGCATACACCTTCCAAAACTGCCTGCTGGGAAGCTCAGTTCAGTTACTAAGAAGTAAGTGTGAAATGCAGCTTTCAGCAGGAATGACCATGTATTCCTGTTTTAACTTCCCTGGAGAGATGAGTAACAAACAGAAGAACATCAAAAATTCTCGCTACACTGATCCAGTGAAATCTTTTGTAAAATCATCCTTTTCTTCCAACGTAATTAGAAGCAAATCTCTGAGCAGCAGCAAGGGTGGATGGACACACAGACATGCACAGGAGCAATTCTTCAGGGAGGGTATCAAAGGTCAGTTGATAAACCCAGTGTGCTGAACACACCTCTAATCACAGTACGCTGATGAGGAAGGGCACCTGCGTGTTTAATCCCCGGGAAATGGAGTCCAAGAGGGCTGACAATGTTCACCCGTGTCGAGTAGTGATATCTCATGTCACGAGAGAGCACAGTCGTCACCAGGACAGGCCGGGCTTGCACTGGTGCGCTGTGACCATGGGGTGGTGCTTCAGCACTGCGGCACACGGGCCTGCAGCGGGGCACGGAGCACAGCGCTCCCCTTAGAGCCCATTTGTTACTGCTAAGGGCTCCTCGGGGAGAGCACACCCTTTCTCTGCCCTTTCACAGTCGTGGATACAGATTTACAATTACTGAGAATTAAAGTTCAAACTGCTGCTGACTCCCACCAAAGGGGAGCAGTGACCTGCACCGACAGGACCAGCCCAGGGTGGCTTGTTGTCTCAACACATACCTTGTAACTCTTGACAAGCTGGGAAAATTGGTCTCTAAAAGAGTCATATGCCTGGATCCAAGTTGAACTGTAAGATCAGCTGCAATTCTGGGCTTCTCTCAGAACTTTACTTCAGAATTTAAATTCCCTGGCAGCCACTTGGTTGGTAGGCACACTACTGAAAACAACCCATGAAACCACTGTTTCAAAGCACCAGTGTTTGGTCACTATTCAGGTCTTTCCAGTATGAAGTTCTGGGAACAGGGCAGAGGTTGGGATGAAATCTAATTTGATGGCTTTGGTGAGTTTTCCAAAAGAGGTGTTGAGAGGAAGAAAACTCCAAAGTGACAAAACTGAAGTAAGAAGAAGAAATGAACACATGGTGAAACATGGGCTGAAGAAGATGCAGTAAAAAAGCTGGGCCTGCCTCATAAAAGCTGTGATGAAATGCATTAAACCTCACCTTACCTTAAGGACATCACAGGGGCACAGCAGTCCTGGGTGTGTCTCCACATTAAAGGTCTCCATGAATTCCAGCTCGATCAGGAAGCCTCTTCTATCTGGATCCTGTAGCTGCAGGAGCTGAGATCAGGTGTTGGATAGTCAGGGTCAGGGATTTCTCCAATTCTCTCAGTAAAAACGAGACTCTGACAGTGGGCTGGGAAAAACAAACAACAGGAAATGATCGTAGTTGTATTGACTCAGTTCAGCCACACCGGGTAAAGGAGCAGGATAATTTTCTACACTAGTTTAGGCCTTCATGAAAGTTCTGGAGCCACAGATCTGTTGTGGTGGGACCAGGGTACCAGCACTATCCAGCACTCCTGCCTTGGAGAGGGGCAGGGAAGGACACCGGGAAAGCACCACTTGAACAGCCTGCAGGGCTGCAGGTCAGATACAGGGGTGATAACTGGAAGCTCCTCAGAAACATTCCAAGGTGTTAAATTTGCAGCTCGTCTGCTGCTCCGGAGTGTGTGGAGTGGTAAGATAGCCATCAGCTCCTCAGTTCCAGAAGCCTCTGAATGCAGCCCTTTCTTTTTAATGCCTTTGTTGCCAGACGTTTAGAATGTAATTGTATTCTCTGAGCAAAACCAGCTGTGCCTCTTGCCGGCACAATTGGAGCCACAAATGCTCCCTGCTGAAGAGAAGCAAGAAGGAACAGCCACAAGTGCCCCGAGGATCTCTGCTTGTTGACAGCATCTGATCACTGTGAAGTGGTGCTTTGATCAGCTGGGAACAAAGGCTTTATGATGTGCTGCAAAAGCTGGATGAGCAATCCTGTAATTGATGAGGAATGCTGGACTGGCTGATAACACCGGCAGATTTTTGCACCACTCTGACACTGAATTAATTGTAAGAGGGAAATTGTTTGACTTTGAATTGTATCCTCAAACACACCATGCTAACCTCCACCAACAAAAATGCCATTATCCAGGCATTAATTACAGATTATCACCCAAAAGCAGATCATACAGTTTAAGGTTGTCATTTTAATGGAAGGGGACTAAGTTGTGAATGAGAAAACTACTGTCCCTTAACTATGGATTTCATTAGCCAAGGTTCTTCTTTTACTTCAGAGAATGAAGCTCATTTCCACCCTATACCTCTGTGTCAGCCCCACTTGTTGCCACTTGTAACCCACTTGGTTACAAGCCTTTACTGGGAAAGGAAAGCAAGAACAGGTGAAAGGATAATCTTTTTGGTGTATGTTTGTGTGGCTCTCAGCTCAACTAAAATACCCCAACAGAAGCCATGATGCACTTGGGCACCAAGTGTCCTTTTAGCACAAGCTGTAATTTCAGAACAATCTCCCTCCCTCTGTCCATCTTCCCAGAGAGTTTCGAGCAGCTGCTTTTGTTTGACATGAACCTTTTCATCACCCCAGTGACTGAGCACCTCTCAGTGTTCCAGATCATTCTCACAGGTTTTCAAACACAGCTGGCAGATACACAAACAGTTAATGAACACCTAGAAATGCCTATTCTGTTAAAACTGAGTGCTCTCCTAATTTATAAATCCTGTTTGGTCCAAAGAAATTGAGACAGCTTGACTAATTCACCTGAGGGTGCTGGCTGCCTCTGAATCCAGCCCTACAGCACCCTGCTTTGCACCAGCAGAGATCAGCTGAGCCACCAAGGGAATTCAATCTTTTCCTTCCATGCTACACTTGTAGAGGATTATTAGTAAGTGGGTTTTTTCCTTAATTATTACTGCCTCATTCTTCCCAGCTAAATGCACATTTCTGTAATGTCACTGACTGTCTCAAACTACAGAAGCATTTGACTATGTAAGAATAAAGCACGTTTTCCAGCACACTCTCCTGAGCTGCTTAAAATATTCCAGACACAGAATTCACTGCCTCTCCCAGGCTTTAAGATCTCACTCTAATGCCTCCTTCCTCCTCCTGTAAGCCCAGGCTAAGAAACACCCCGAAATCTGTTTGATATGCAGATCTAGCATATCTATGCTCACCCCCATGGAAGTGCAAAAAAAAAAATCTGCTTCTCTTAAAACTGAAACTTCCTCATGCTGCCAGTATCTGTGCCAACTCCACAGCCCCTCCAGGAGTAGTCTGGAGGCAATTATAGGAAAAGATAGGGATGAAAACATGAAATCCTTAGGTGTGAGAAAAGACAGTGGGAGTTCCTACCCTAAGCATACAAGTCATAATATAATGAGGACTACCTTTATGCTCCTAACTTCCTACTGAAATCATTAGGAAGTTAGGATCTCAAATTCTTTGCCAGTTCTGCAACTGAATCCTTTTTGTATAACCTACAAAACCATTTGTCCCTGGGCATGGGATTACTCAGGTTGGTAAGGTTAAATTCTTTCTTACAAGAACCTCAGAATTAGAAGGCAGCAACACCTTGGCTTCTATTTACCAAGGTGATCATGTTATCCTCTGCTGAAAGTATGTTTAAATGAATGTTATTAGACTAAAGCTCAGCATAAATACATGTAGTAGAGAGAAAGGATGAAGAAAAGCCCACTGTGTGATAACACAGATATGCCAGAGACACAAAACAACAGTGTGTAAAACCACCCACTGTAGCTCCTGAAAGCTGTTTACCTTCTTAACAATAAGAGGGCAAAGGAACACATGATGAATTTAAAGGGTGAAAACCACAAACCTGATACAAAGCCAGGATTATGTTCGTGAATGAAGGATATTTTAAACAACACTCACAGAACTGTATTATCCACTGAAGCATGAGGGGCTGGCCAGGCTCACAGGTTGGACTCCAGGGATCCTCAGCCTGGGTCCATTCTGGCAAGGCACATTCCAGAACTGCTCTGACTGCCCAGGGGCTGGTTCAGAGGCTCTTTGGGGCAGAGGCTGCTCTGTGTTCACACAGCAAAGAGCAGCACCATGTCTGTGCACAGAGCTGGGCTCCCCACACACTGCTACAGCTCAAACAAAACCAGTGCCCTGTCAGGAGCCCAGCAATTCAGAAAACTGGCCTTGTTTTGAAGGACCGAAAAAGGAGAAAGACAAACTAATATTTTTTCATACTTCATTACATCTGTCTCCTTTAAATTCAATCCCTAATGTTGATGTAAGATTTTCATGATACAGTTTGGGGAAAATGTAAATCATCACCAATAAACTCTCTTGACCTGTGCTCACATGAACAGCCAGAACTGGCTGACCCAACAGAAGACACTCTGCTAATCCAAGGGAATCTGCAGCTTGAAGATGAAAAGGCTCAGACTGGACCTTCCTTTTCTCCTAATACCTTCTGGATGTGGCCACTGGGAGTTCCCTTTGTCAGGGCAGTATTTTTTTCCATAATTCTGTGAGCAAGAAAGTCATAAACACGCAGCACAAAAAGGATCAAATGATTTTTTAACATCTGCCAGCAGAAATGCTCTCCCCTGACTGCTCAGTCCGAGCTTTAGGGCTGTCCTGAGAGTGCTCAATTATGCTTAGGCCATATTTTTATTAGGATCACAGTGAGCTTTTTGCCAGAGGCTTGAACCCTGAAAAATGGCCCCCTCAAAACTTGTAGGTCCATTGTCATTCTCTCATTAGGCCCCCAACGAAAGGTGGGTCATAAATTGTGTCACTGATCCATGACAAAATTTCAGGCTGCTTTGATCACAATTCACTGTGACCATGAAACAGCCTCTGAACAGGATTAAACATGGCACAAGTAAGCCTTGGTAGTGCTTGCACAGCCACTCTACCCCCAGATCTGTTCTCTGCAGCACCCACCTCCCAGACACTTGCTAAGCATGTTCCCAGTAAGTCAGGGCAGGGATGTTTCCTCTCATTTTGCCCATGGATATTCAAAGCTGGTACCAAGTGATTTGCTCAAGGGAACATCAAAGCCTGCAAATGCAGTGGCCTGAGTGTTGTCCCACCTAAAAGACTTCATCTTTCCTCCCATGCTCACCTGGAAAAGGGTTCCTTCCCTGTTTATTCCACAGCTGGAGTAACCAAGCCTCATAAATAGCAATTAAAAGCAGCTCCTGCTAAATAGCAGAAATAAGGCAATACTGACTGGCTAATGCTCCTTAATCCCTCAAGCTTTTAGACAAAGCCTTGTCTTACCTTCAGCAGTTCCCCTGGAGCTGCTGAGCTCTGACTTGTTAAACTCTTGCAATAATCATCCTGTTTCCCCCACAGAGCTGGGGGGCCCTAGTCCCTGACAAGTACAGAGCACAGCATTTCTCCAGCACGTTTGAAGATGGTCCCTGCCCAAAGAGGGTACAGCCTAAATGGACATCACATGGGGATCACTGTGGAGCAGGGAGAGGCACTTTGAGGGACTGAGACACCACAAGCAACTGAGCTGAAGAACAGCATTCCTGGTGTTGCATCTACGTGGGGAGAGCACCTGTGAAGAAAAGATACCTCAGCTGCCCTGTGACATTCATATGACTTCACCAAACTCCTGGAACTCCAAAGTTTTTCTTACCAGAACACACTTCAGCCACGAGGCCAGGCTCCCAATGGAGAAATGGCCAAAGTCACAAAATGGGGATAAAGAAAAATTCAGACTTTTCCAAAGAGTGAATGGGCTTTGAATAGCAAGTTTCAATCTACAGATCTGTGTGCAGACAGGAGTGTATCTAAAAGGACCATTAGGGAACAAAGGTGTGGTCATGGATTTGTTGCAGTTTAAGAACTACGGAAGGTCAAGCAACAAGAGCTGGACAAGAAATTCAAGAGTCTTCATGTTTAGCTGTGATGCTCAGGGGCCTTTCTCTTATCAGCTCTTGCCTTATCTACCTTCTTTTTTCCCAAGTGACACATGGAAATGTGAGAAAATGAATGCCCCAGAGGCTGCCATCAGCTTTCAACAAGGAACAGCCTCTTTATTGTCTGCAGGAGGCAGGTCTGAAAGGCAAGGAACCACAACAGACAAGTCATGGAGCAAGAGAAGCCTGCAGCCCTTGGGCAGACTGCAACAGGCAGGTCAGGAGGGAGGGAAACCAGCTCTTCCCAGAACATCTGTCTCCATCTCTGCCTAAGCGAGGAGAAGCTTAATTATCTGATGCTGGAAAATAAAGGAGAAAAAGAGCCTGTCAATAGCAGCCTGCCCAGGCAGGAGCCCAACACTCACAGGGGCAGCTTTTGCCCTCATCTCATGAAGGATGTCTGCAGAGACTTTGTCCTTGCAGCCCAGTGGCTGGAGCAGCTGCAGCCCTGAATCTGAGGGCTCTAAATGTGAACAGGTTCCAGCACATCAGCTGCACCACAGAAATTCCCAATTCTCAATTCCCAGCTCCTCCATCCAGGTAGCCCAGCCCTCTGCTATTGCTGAGAAGCTCCCTGTGCTCAGGCTCTGTTCAAGGAGGGGGACAGAACTGGGCACACACAAATGGTCAGTGCAGAGCTGACAGTTCACAGCTTTCCAGTTTGCACCTTCACATTAAGGGCAGGCACAGGCTTTACAGTGCCAGTAAATCCATATACTTGTGCTAAAAGCCATCACTTCAGGACAGTCTGTTCAATACACTGGAGACATGAGGAGCTTGAATCTTGAATCAGACCCAGGCAGCCACGGCTGGAGAGAGCTTGTAATGGGCTGGAGCTGGGAAGACAAATGCCAAGGCAACCTTAAGCACTGGAAGCTGGATCCAATTCTGTATTTCAGCACAGGGGAGCTCAAGGAAACCATCTTCCACCTCTGACAGTATTTATGAGCAGTATGTGTGCTGGTTCTGTCCAGACAGGGTTCAGCTCCTGGTGGCAAAGCTGCACCCCCAAAGGATGAACCTCTCACCCTGTGTTTCACTGCACAGGGAATCCTGAGGTGTTGATCTTTTCCTCTGGTTTGACCTGAGCACCAGAGCTGGGCAGCAGTGAGAGATCTCACACTGTGAGCCCTCTGAACAAGAGATCCATGCATGGTCAGCCTCCCATTAATGAGTGGAACATGGTAGCTGGTGTCAATGATATGTGGATTGTGCTGCTTCTTGGCCTGTGTCCTTCCAGGGGAGAAAACTATTTCTCCATTAGACTTCACAATTCAATTGTCAATTTTTCCAACACATCTACTAATTTGGGTCCAGACTACTCAGTGTCTCAGTACCCAGGGAACAAGATGTCCTCAGTTTTGCAAAACTGGCTGCACTGGCAGCCATGAACATGGGAAGTGTCTGTGGTGGGAAGCGTAAGGGAAGTTTCTTGCCTCTCCCATTCAACCCACCTAAAGGTGAACAGAAGTGGAAAGGAGTAACCACAACCAAGTACCACAGCACCATTTTACTGCCACACAAAATTGCTGTCCCTGATGGCAACCATTAGCCCACAGCCACTCTGCAAAGGAGGGCCTCTGCTCCCAGCCCTGACCAACCCCCTGAACTGCCTTCCAGCTGCACCAGGTGAATAGGGAATAGAGAAAACAACAGCAAAACCCCACAGATTGCACCTTGCTGTTAGAGCCAGGACTGGATTTAAGTGGATGTTGTAGGTAGGGAATTATCTCCTGATCTATCAAGAGCTCACCTGTGCATGTCCTCTTGTTTTCATGCAGTGTGTAGCCAACTCTGCAGCTGCAATAGTAGCCCCCCACATAGTTGTGACAGTGATGATTGCAGAGGGGTTCACCATCCAACAGCTGCTTGCACTCATCAATATCTAATGGGCAAAGCACAGAATCAGGTAAACAACTCCCTTCAACAATGTGTTCTCTCATTCTGAGCTGCTCTGTGTTTTGAAAGGTTGGGCTGTTTGCCTTTGGTTGCTGTGCCCTTCTGCACCTGCCTCTGTACGAGACATCTCCCACCTCACACCCACAGCACAGAGCAGCACAGAACACAGCGAAGCACCAACCCCACCACAGCTGTGGCTCTTCCACCTACATCTCTTATCTAAGATCTCATCTCCATCTAAGATCTCTTACCTTCAGCAGCATAGAAGGCCTCAAAGCCCGTGAATGGTTTCTCATTGGAGTAGTCAGACCTGAACACCACCATGAGGTGGTTGTCCATGGAGATGTATGTCTTATTGCCCGGAGCCTCCTCAGTGTCTGTGCTGTCCTTTCCACACAGTTTAGCCAAGGTCTTCCCACCAGAGCTCAGCTGGAAAACAGACAGACAAATCCACCAGATGAGCACAGAGCACTGATCTTCCCAACCTGCTGCCATGGCTTGGAAAGCTTGTGTTTAATGGTGTGAGGAAGGAGGTTTGGATGCTCTCAAAATGTGCTTCTGGAGATCAGTCTACATCCAAGGACAGATAAGAGAAGATTTCCCCCATTCTCTGTGATTTAAGCCTATAATTTCGTCTCCCTTTTTCCTTTCTTGTTAACTTGGTGCTTTCAGTGACAACCAGATCTTGGTAAAGCCCGAGGCAACTGGGGTGAAAAAAAAAGTTTCACACACTGACAAATTCAAATGTATAGTAAAAGGTGTCTTTAAATGAGTGACTCACTTGCTCTATGATTCACCTATTACAGTTTCAGTTCTTAATTTATCTTTAATACAAGAGAAATGTTCTGACACATGGGGTTTATGTTGGGCATGGCAGAGAGGGAGCTATGTACCACAGATCTACCAGAAAGGAGTATTCCATCCTGCCCAAAGGAAAGTACATGAAGAACAACCTGGACCTGGGGAATGGGAGCAACTTGCCATATATAACACCACGGAAATGAGATCTTTCTAAGTGGGAAGAGCCTGGTTTGGTTCTGTCTGATGGAAACCGGGCTTGCACACTCCCTGTGTACACAGCTCCCTCTTGGATGTGCATCAGGCCCACACAAGCAAGTTCTTCCTGAGGTTGTTTGTCACATTAGCCAGCAGACACCACAGCCAGTGCCCATTCAGACAAGCTGACAGCGACTTGTTTAGACCATCACTTACATTTTGTGGTCTCCCAGTTCTGCTTTCTTGTCCTGTGGGCCTCAATAAATACATCATTTAGAAATCAGCTGAGCCTAGACTTCACAAGCAGATTAGAATCAAGTGCTTACAAGAGTTATACTGGTCCTACGGGTGCCCAGGATCACATAACCACAGTTTTTAACAGCTTAGCCTGCTACATGTCACCCCATCCTACACATACCTTCACATAATCATATTCACACAGGTAGGACAGCTCCAGGTTGAAATGGGTGAAGTAGATACGGACAGAATATCCCTTGGGGACAGTAATATTCCAGATTCTCTCCTTGTGGTTTGGGTAGACATTTGGAAAGTTTGGGGATGTGATCCTCCCATACATTTTCTGTGGCACAATACTGGTCTTCACTCCACTGTAGAGCACAGCCAGCAAGACAAACAGCCTGAGTCAAGGAACAGAGATTAACAGAGGAAGAGTGAGCATTAACTCAGATCATAGCCCAAACCCACACATCTAAGTTCCCAGGCTCGATACCAAATCAGGTATTTCAGCAAGAGCTGAAATCTTCATGCCCACCACCCTTCTCATTTGACAGTGGAAGAAATCGGTTGGAATCAGTGCAGCCATACTCCAGTAGCAGCTGAACAAGATGAGACACATGTTCCTGCCTTCCAGAGCCTGCACAAAGCCAAGTGGCCAGAGGAGCTGGGGAGGGCCCTGCCACCACACTCACCTCATGGTGCTGCTCTCCTGTCCGAGCCTGCTCGGCTCTGAGCCCCGGGCAAGGAATCTCTGCTGCTGTATTTGCATTTGGGGGTGGATGTATTTACTGTGTGTGCTCTGCTGTGTTTATCTGGATGTTGAACTCTGATGTTTATCTCCCTTCCACCCCCTTCAGCCTGCTGAGTTCTGGGAACAGCAGTCACTAAAAACCAGGCTTGTGTTCAGGCTTCAGTGAGGGACGGGGAGAGGCAGGCAGGGATCAGGAATGCTGCAGGCTCTTGCAGGGAGCTGTAGTATCGCTGCTCTGTGGGAAGGCGGCAGTGGGAGGAGGTGGCTCAGACAGTGTCTGCACAGGGAGTGCGGGGAGCTGGGCAATGTTCTTTCCCCTCTAACCAACTGATCCACAATCCTGCTAATGCAACCAGCACGGTACCGGGAGTAGTTCCTTCTGTCGTCAGAGCAGGAAGGTGTTAGGGACAAAATAATGGGGCACATTACAGGATTTTAGAATAGGGAGGAGTCTCGTTAGGTGGTTCTGTGTAATGGCACAGGAATACTCAGGGACACCACACTACAGCACACACGAGTTTCGTCTTCCAGTTCTCAGCTGTACATTTTAACCCAGTGCAAGCTTGTGGTGACTGAAACCTGCTCCAAGCCTTGTTCATATGCATGGGTTGCTTTTTACCCTGCCCATCCTGGAATGTCCATAAGGTAAAACAGGTACACTAAAAAAAATAACTCAAATTTCTTCTAAACACTGTGGGTCCACACAGGGATTTCACACTGCCCAGGGAATTCAACTGGGAGAGTCAATGCCTATAGGACATAAAGCTGTATTAATTCCACTGCTTGCAGGCTGCTTCTTTCCAAGTCAGCACTTAGTTTTCCCACAAAACTCCTGTTCCAGTGCACGTAGAGATAGGCCTGAATTTATAGAGGATGAAAAGCCAGATACATTAATGCTGAGCTTAGGTCCACCTCTTCCTTGACAAAAATGGGCAGAGAGTGGGAAAACTGGTCTGCAGCAGGGAACAGACCACTGCACTGCACAGAGAGGAAATTTATCCAGAGATATCCTTTAATTAAATGGACACCTTTTGAGCAGCCAAAAAATCATTACCCCAGGCAGTGAAACTGCAGGAAAGCAGGAGTTATTACATGAGCAAAAACTAAGGCAAACAAACCATTCAGCAGACTGCAAACAGAAAATACCATTTAATAAAAGTGAAGGAGAAAGTAGTAACAGTAATAATTAATTGTGTAGTAGCACTACCTACAAACATGGCTAATGGACAAGAACCCAGAGGGGATTAGCTTTTCCCATGGCCCACTAGCTGTTAAAATGATTCTATCAACAAGATAGATGTGGACCTTAAACTGGTTGGAAACGAGGGAAGAGAAGGAAAATTTTGCAAAAAAATCAATCCGTGCCTAACTGAGCTGTTGCCTGATTCCCTCAGGCAAAAATACTTCCAGAAGCATCCCCCATCAGGCTTCCTGCTGGGTTCAGTAGCAGAGGCACAGAGAGTCAACTCTGATCTTAGGTCTGAAGGGTTTCTCACAGCCCTGAACTTGATGAGGCCCCTGCAGCTGAGGGTTGCTGGACCCAGGCAGCTGCCTTAGTAAGCTGCACCCCTGGAGCCTGAGAAGCTGAATGCTTGGTGCACACACCAGCTTTCCCCTGGCACGGTCTGGGGAGAAGCACCTCATGTGAACCACGCCAAAAAACACTGTCCCTGTTTCTCCACCCAGAATCCTTCCAGCTCCAAAGGCCACAGGGCTCAGCTCATCAGGTGCAGCAGTGTTCTGGGAGCGCTGTGACAACAGACCTCAGGCCACACAGATGCTCCTCTTGTCCCCAGTCTCCCCTTGGCACAGGACTAAGCCAGCCCTAAGGCTGGGTGCACTTCATCCATGTCACTGCAGCTTCCAGTGCCCTGGGACTTGCTGAGTTACTGATCCACTTTAGGAAATTTGGGTGTTACCTGGAATGATGCCTCCTGAGAAGTCTGACCAGCTGTCTTGTGCCCCTGTCTCCTTCCATGCTGAGGGCTGACTGAGGGAGCACAAAGGTGAGCTGCATTCTCCACAGAAACACCAGGCCAAGGGTCAGAGAAAGGACTTCCCTTGGAAAAAAAAAAATTTCTGTGGGATGGAAGATTATGGAATGACACAGAGATTCTGGAGAGTCCTTGTCTGAGCCCACACTTTCCCTCAGACACTGTACAGTCTCCCAGATTATGCTTTTACTACTTGACACTGAGGTCTGTCAAGGAAAGGTTTCAAATCCTTCCTGTGGCAACAGGGAGTGCAGACAGCAAAGTCAAACACATGAATAAACCAGCAAGAGCAGAACTGCTCAGCCAGCACAGTGCCTCAGGCTGGTACCACAAGATCCAGAGACTGGATCTCCACTTTCCCTGCAAAAGCAGACACCAGCAGGAACCAACCAAAAAGATGAGAAGGCTGGAAAGCAGCTTTGCTGTTGGGGCTGTCACTGAAGTGCTGTGAGATCCAGGCTAAGTCATGGGGCAGCCCTTCAGTTCAGATTTCCCTCTGACCTCAAGTTCTAAAACTGCAAAAATATTACCTGAGGTAAGTTTTGCCTAAGCTGTGTTCCTACAGAAAGAGTTTCAGTTGTAACGAACTCTGAGCTCCTGTAAAAATGAAATCAATACAGCTCCACTTAATCAAAAAAGTCCCAGACAGCTCTATTCTCAAATGGACCATGCAAAACCACACAGTGCCTCCAAAATCAGCTTGTGCTGGGGGACAAAATCCCCTCTGGGTCTTTGAAAGGCAGCTCCTGCACTCTGGCAGCAGTCCCATGGAAAGCACTGCAGTCACTGGCTGGTGTTTCAGGTATAATAAACAGCACAGTGAGCACCTGAACGTGCCTGTGGGTCTGAAACCCGGGTACAGTGCCAAAGCAAGAGGCTGGGTAATGAATGGAGGAAAAGCACAGTGCACTCATCTGACAGAGCAGGGCTGTCCCTGCGTCACCAACCAGGGCAGCAAATGAGCAGAAGAGCTGCTTGCTGTGATCCCTGAAGACACTGCTCCCCACTGCCCCTGCTCTCCCAAACGCCAGCTGCCTCTGCAGAGCCCTGAGAGATTGCTGGGATGCTTGTTGTTCCATGGCTAAATCCCATCCTCCTGCACCGAGGGGTTCAGAGGATGGGGGGAAGCAAATGCAGCGGAGGAAAAGATGTTCTGTTTCCTCATCACAAATCAAATAGCGTGACTGACATCAAAAGACAAGCACACAGACGGAGCAAGCAGAGCATGGAGTGGGGCAGGGGGAAGAGCCTGGTTGCTGTGAAACAGAGAAAAAAATAATCTTGCCAGGGGAAAAATAGGAGGCAGGGAAAGCTCCTGCAATGGGGCAAGACACTTTCATCAGTTAGGGCAGGCTTTCCTCCTTCCCACGCTGTCTGCTGCCACCTCATTGCTCTATATTCTGTTTGCAAAGACAGACTCCAGCTGCTACAGTGCTATGGAACATTTCTCCAGCAGGGAAAAAACCACTAGCCTTGGTCTCTTTACCCTGCACAGACTGATTTCCAAAGGACAACCAATGCAACTCCACAACGTCATCCTCATCTGAAACTTCTCAGGTCTGAGCTCAGATTTTCCAGGAGGATCAACAGAAACTCTGCAGTAAAGACGCTGGTTGACAGTTTTGCTCCTCTGGCATGATCAGAGCTCTCAAAAGCAAGGGTGACCATCACCTGTGTGGGACTGGCCTCAGGCTGGGAAACATGACCTCTCCAGGAGCACCACAGAGCTCACACAGTTTATACAGCATGTGTGTGTACATACTGAAAATGATGGATAGGTTCTGTTCAACTGCACAGCTGCAGGATCCATCAGCACATCATTTTCACCTCTGCCAGCCCACCTCAACCACTGCATGGATAGATGTGTATTTATGCACGTGACTGTACAAATGCCAGGGCAAATCCCTGCACTGCACACACTCATTCCCTTGGGAAGAGAGCATGACACAAGGAAGAGATGCTGAGCACACTACTCTGTTTCCTCCTGGAAAAAACTTCCACTCTGCCGTGGGGAAGGTAGCACAAGAACTGCCCAGGTCAGACTCTTTTCCTCTGTCCCCCCAGTGCCACTGGCCTGGCTCTCAGGAAATTAGGGGGCTCACACAGCTACTGTCTCGCTCCCACCCACACCCTTGGTAGCTGCACTACGTCTGCTGGGCCAGCTCCAAGTCTGTGACTTCACTGGAGCAGCTGCTTGTGCTGGGAAGAGGATTTAGTTACAATTCAGATGCAGCTACAGCCAAAGCTATGAAATACTGCTGTCTTCTCTCCAAGCAGAGATGCTCTGCACGTTCCAGGCACAGCCAACACATTTTGCCTGAGCAAACCTGCCTCCAAACAGCCAAAAGGGACAAAGGGGGTGGATGAATCACATGTCCAGCATCTATCTCTTGTCCAACATGAGGTCTCAAAGCAGGGAAGGAAAGTGAGAAGAAAGAAAAATATGACAAATCTCTGTACCAAAGGCCAGCCAAGGATAAGCACACCAGGAACTCCCAGCTGTGAATAGAGTGAGGGTAATGAAAAGCCTCCCTCAAACCTGTTGTAGCCTCATTCAGCAAGCAGCTTGGCCATGCAGAGCAATTAGGAGACTATTCAGCTCCCAGAAAATCCACCCAGGAACCACAGTCTCATTTAGAGAGAGTGGTTTGGGGTTACACACCTGCCAGGATGAATGGAAGGCCTGGAAAGACACTTGCCAGCTTGGAAACAGCTCTTAGCACGTGCATTCCCTCCAGCACAGTCTCCAGTAAGAGGATCCACTTGAGCAGTAGCTTCTCTCCAAACCCATTCACTGTCAGGGGAGAACTGCAAAGCAAGTTTGGCAGAACTATATCCATCTCCTGCTGGAGTTCCCATGTAATCCTCCACTCTTATATCTTCTGTTAAACAAGGCTTAAACCTTTCCCTGTCTGCAGAACAAGACCCTGCAGAGCACAGCAACCACCACTATATGGGGACGAAACCCTGGGTTTTCAAAAACAGGGGAACCTGGATCTCATCTTCCACCCCAAACCACACACAGCACACAAGGTGCTCTCAGCTGAGAGCACAAGGTCTGCCTTTGGAAGTCAGAGCTTGGCTGCTTGTCTCTATTTCCACCTCCCTTCCATTTGTTCCTTCTTTCATGACTGCTCTTCCTCTACATGTATGTGCATTAATTAACACCATGAAGAACTGTACTCTCCTCCCAAATGGACAACTTGCTGAGACTGCAGGAGACAGTAAATTCCTGAGGCTCCCTCCCAGCTCAGGAAGAGGGAGAAGCTGAGAAATGTGCTGAAAAATAGGCTTGAACAGCATCAAGACTGGCAAATTCATTAAACCCACTTGCAACAGGCTCCTCTGCAATTGTCCATAACCTGAATTTTTTCGTAACAAATAGGCTATTACCTCGCTAATCTAGACAAACAGTAAAGCCAGCCCAAAGCATTCCCAAAATAAGAGCTACTGCTCAGACATTAAAGAGTTGGTGTGATACACTGGAATGGACAAATCTTCCCTCTGGCTAAATCCCTCACTGAATACACACAACCTCATTCCTGCCTTGGAGAAAATAGATTGAAGGCGTGTTAGAGCCAACAGTCCCATCAATCAGAACCTGGATATTAAAATGCCTGTAGCACTCCAGGAATAAGAAACAAACCTACCAAGCAACCAGCTGAGCCAAACTTTTGCTGACCACTTCAAAGAAAAAAAAATTACTTTTCTCAACTATTTCAAATTGCTCCCCCTTCAAAGAAGTCTGGGATCTCTGACTGTTCTCTCTTTGGAGGAGAAATTAGGGATATCTTCTAGGTACTAGGTACCTTCTAGAGGTTTTCTAGAAGTAACAAAGACTGGCTTTATCAATCTTATTTTTAAGGCAGAAATGTCAAATCTATTCTTGCAGAAAAGAACTGGAAGTGTTCAAACCAAACCACTGTCTTTCAGTCAAGATGTAAGCTCATTTTTCACAAAATTCCACCCTGAAGCTCTTGTTTCTTGCCCTAGAGGGGAAAAACAAAACCCCAAGCCTCTCAAGATGCAGGGCAAGAGTTGCACTCTGAATGAACATTTTACTCCTCAGCTTCTCTGTTTGACTTTGCTTCCCTCACAGAAATCTTCATAAAGCCATAACCTCCAAAACACCATTTGATCCTGTGTCCCTTTGTTTTGGGCCATGTCAAACACCTGGATTTGAGGTGAGAGTGCTATTGTTTCACAGAGAAATTTAATTATGTCTTTTAAATGAGTGAGACACTTACCTGGCTCCCTTCTCCTCACTTTTCAGCATTATGAAATCCACAGTGCCAAAGCTTCGCCAGAAGTCATGACTAAAGCTTGAACAATAGAGGGAATCTGCAAAAAGAAAACAAGAGCTTTTAAATAGAGTTTTCAACAGAACCCAATTAAGCAGAAGCCTCACAAAGGAGAGGTGAGCTCGTGCCAACACAGCACTGTATTCTGACTCAGAAAATTCTGCAATTCAGAGATAGGCAGAGCTATGACCTGGCTGCACAAAACTGAGTGCTCAGGTGTTGGCACTCAAATACTGCCTGGATTAAGGAGTTACCTGACTGCTGCACACAGGTGATTACAAATGTGACTCTTTCACACCTGTTGGACACATTGGCACCTGTTTGTATTTACTACCAGCAGGTCCACCACTTGTTGAGTCTCAAAGCTGTGTGCAGAAAAAGCCTACTGGAAACTGCTGACGTGCCCTGGAGGCACTGGGCCTGCTGGCAAGCAAAGGGAGACTTGGCATATTCGTGTAGCCCTCTAATTTAAAATTAGGTACAGAGTCTATGAAAGTATGTCCTAAATTGACCCAGCCATAGTAACTGCCAGTGACTTCCACCAGCCATCAGCTTCAGGATCTTGCTTTGCCCCAGCAATGCTCAGCTCCACTGGAAAGGCAAACAAAATGATTTGGCTACATGCAGAGTTAATTTTGTACAAGGATACAAAATGGATCTAACCCCATTCCAACCTGCATGGCAAGGCCCTCAGCTAAGTACTGAGCCCCCTTAGCTAACAATTAAAACTAAAAGAAGAAACTCTGGGGGGGGTCAAAGTGAAGATATTTCGATACACCTGTGTGGGGCAGGCAAAAGGGAAACAGCCTCGCTATGGCATGTGTTTGTCTGACGTGGTAAGAGCAATACAGAGCCAGCAAATTAAAAGATCATCACATGTAATTTAAATGTTTGGCTGGAATCCCCCGAGACCCAGTGGGAAGAATCTCCGAGGAAAGGAAGATGCTTTGTTTGATGTATGTTAGCAAGGAGGGAACTGAGCCAGAGTGCTCACACAGCTGGGGGAATTGCTCTTGCTGAAGTCAGATTACTCCAACTTGTCTGTTGGCCTGTGCTCAGCAGCCCTGTAATGACCCAGAATTGCAGCTGACAGATTGGTGCTGAGTTTCTCTCGCTGAGGCTCCTGTGTGTGGATGAGCCATTACTCTTTCAATTTTGGGCTCTGATGCCTGTTAACATACATTAGGCTTTTCCATATGGTGCATCTTAGCCTGGTGTCCAGGGCAGCTGCCTGGGCCTCTGTCCCCACCCCCATGCTCAGGCCCTGGCTAATGAAAATGGATGATGGCCCCAGCTCGGTAATGGGACACAGATGGACCAAATGGTTTTTCGCTTTGAAACATATTTTCATTTAAGAAAGTCTCCAAAGACTGTGAGCTTTTTATTCTTGTATCACTGTAATATTCCCCCCCAATACACTGCAATCTTCAGACAGGTGAGGAATTCAAAGATGCCAACTTTCAGTTTAGCTGGATCTGCAAGTCTACACACCAGTGCCCTGTTCTGCTGATGGTCTTGACATGTTCTCACTTTCCTCCTCTCCCATCTCACCTCTTCTGCTCATACTGAAAGATCTGCAGCGTGAGAAGCTGCATTTTTTTGGGGCAGATCTGTTAAAAGAAGGCCTGACAGGCTGCTGAACCAGTCTCAGCTGAAGGACTGCACTGCCTCCTACAACACAGGTAATAATAATAAATTAAACAACTGCTTTATTATTATGAAAGCCTTGTGCAGACACAGCAGAAGCCTCCACAGCCACATGTGAGAACACATGACTGAGGCCACTGCACAATGGGCACGGGATTCAGGGGTCACTTTCCAGCAGGACTCTCCATTCTTCATCTCTGCCCTGGGAAGTTCAAGGGCTCATGAAGCCGCCTCCAACTTTCCAAAGTGTTCCTTGTTATTTATGGTTTCTGCCCTCGTGCTAAGGCTCTTCAAATAATTTGGAAATAATCCCCTTAATGCAAGGGCAGCGTTTGCCCATGACATCTCATTTACCAGGCAGTCCATCTTCCCAGAGAGGTGAAGCCTAGTTAAGTGTTTCTGAGGGACAGGGCAAGTGTCTGTATGTGTATGTGTGAAAATGGGATGGGACTCAGGAAAACAATTCTCCTTGAGTCTCTCAGCCCTCATTACAATTCCTCTTTTCAGTGCCAGCTCTGATTTATGGGCTGCCATTCAGAGGCTGTGAAGCCCTGCAGCCAGAGTTGACCAGCTGTCAGAGCAGGGCTTACAGAACAGGGAACATATTAACCTGTCTCTGTGCCTGCCCAGATCCCACAGCTGACACTGGAGCTGACAACGAGGGGCTGTGCCTGGCACATCACCCTGAGCATTGCTGGGGGCTGTGACTGCTCAGAGGGGCACACACCCAGAACCAGGGGCAGAATTAGGACATAGCCACATCTTGTGCCCCAAGAGAGAGACTTCCTGGACTGTGGTCCCCACCCTCCTGCTTGTTTCCCAATTTTATTCTGGAATGGAGCAAAAAGCCACCAGTGGCATTTCTTCTCAGCTGTTCTGCTTCTAACCCTCTCTGTCCCATGGAATGACCAGCTGCCTTCCAGCACTGGACAGGGTTCAGTTATCCTTTAGGAAGAGTAATCAGAAGGCACTTTCCAGCCCACTGGCTCCCAGCAGTGGGTAAATTCATCAGTTCAGGGACGAAGATGAGCACTCTTTGCGAGCCAGCATTTCAGAGCACAAGGCCTGCTGTTTGCTCCCCACAGCTCTGGGCTCCTAAAGTGTAAATCCAGCTTTTTAGGCAGCTGCAGCTCCCTGTGTGTACACCTGCACCTCAGCTCCTGGCAGGGCACCTCTCACCATGGGACTGATTGGACTCTGACTGGATTGGCAGCACATGGCCAGGGACAGAGCTCTCAGGAGCAAAGAAAAGGCTTTCATGGAGACATATCCTGACCTCTGGGTTTCACTCTGAGCAAGGGGCTCCCTGCACAGAGCCTTGTCCTGACTGGAAGAATTAAAAGCTCTGTTTAAAATGTTATGTCTCCCTTTCTCTATTATATAGAAATACTCTGCCTTTCTCTACTAATTAAACTGCTGCCAATGCCTGGTTCATTAACTAATGCAGACCAATACACCCATCTGCTCTTGTTCAAATACATAAAGTCACACTGAAAACAACCAGATCTGAAGACTCTCCCCTCTATCCAACAGTGACCAAATGTGTCTTAAGTGATGGACTCTAAAACCATCATCTGAGGGACCAAACATCTCCTGGACAATTTCCGGAATGCACAAGCCAGGAGTGGGCAGCTTTCCACAGCCATAAATCACTGGCTTCTTCAATGGCTGTCAAGAAGAGACTAAAACACACCAGCCAAGCACAGCCTAGTAAAACTGAAGACATTTCTAACAGCAGACTGTCCTAACCAGCAGCCCTACAATAGGAAGTAGTCCTGACTTCAAGCCAAATTCAACAAGGTTCCAGCTGTAAAGATCGCTTGTAATTTATTTTTTTGTTTTACACTAAACGTTAATTGGTTTAAAACAAGAGTCCTCCAGGTCCCAAAGGTACTGCTAGAACAGAAATTCCTCATTCCCAGCTGAATGCCCTGAGCCCAGGGAAACAGTATGCTCTCTCCTCTGGCACAGCTTATTCCCCTGTGCACTCTGTCCTTCTAGACAACAAGCCTCATCCAGCCCAGCCAACCACTCAGGGCTGAGACACTCTCTGGGGAGCTGGAAGACATGGATTTGAATCGTCCACATTTCCTTCACCTCCCAGACACTTCCTCTGAGACTTTCTATGAGCCCTACATAATGTTAACAAGTGGGAAGCAGACATGCTGGAAGCTTTGAATCTGCATTCAAACAGCTCTCTCCAAAGCTCCTATCTTAAGGGGCTGAAATGCTGGCTTTTCTCTCCAAAGCTCCTGTCTTAAGGGACTGAAATGCTGGCTTTTTTTCATCTGGCACCTCCCTCCTCCATCTGCAAAACTAAATACAAATCTGAAAGTGAGAGCTCAGTCAGCTCCAGCTCCAGAGGTGCTGGACTTAGCAAAGGGGGACACGCGGATCAGACACGCCTGTTACAAGAAGGCTCCCAGGCTCAGCACAGGTAGCTCCTGCTCTCCCTTTGTGTGGGGTACAGCTGTTCCTCAGGCTCTGGGATACAGGCTGGCAGCTCCTACAGCCTCTGCTTGTATTCCCAGGCTTCTGCAAGGGCTTACTCACAGCAGCTGATCAACAGCAGTGAGCTGTTCTCCATTAGCTCCTGTCTCACACGACACAGGCCCCCTGACTCTCAAATATTCACTGCTCTAAAGGCAGAGAGATTATTATGGAACAAAAAGCAACTTTACCCACAATAGATATTCTGCAGTAATGCTCTGCCAGAATCTTTATCCTGAAGGTTCTCCCTATGCTGACAGTCCCAGTTTACTGTGTGTCTCTGGATAACTGATTTTTACCTCCCTGCACTTCATCTACTGCCTCAGTGGTAACTCTGACCGCAATTCCTTCTGAATCCCTGAGGAAAAGCTACATCTCTTAAATCCTTGTTGATGTAGTAGAGAGCATCTTCTGATTTCCCATCTTACAGCACACAGACCTTTACACCACAGTGTTACCAAAAAGCACAACACATCAACACCCTGCCTACGCTTCTGACCTAGCCTACAAAAACTGCAGTGCTCCAGCAACTCCTCCTCAATCCCTGGAATCTTCCTCTCAAATCCCTGCAAGTTCCTTCAGGGTTCAGCAAAGACAGGAAAAATCCACTGTGCCAGACATCCTCCCAGTTCACCAAGTCATTTGTACTCAGGATTTCCTGTGTTGCACATTCTTACATGAAGCTACTGCACAAATGAATGGTCAAGGTAACAGAAACTTTCACCGAGCAGTTTTCATGGAATATAAAAGGCATTTACAGCCTGCTGCTGCTGAGGGCTTTGTGAAAGCAGGAGCTCAGAGAAGTGACTGAAGTTAAATTTTCAAAGTCCACTTCACAGGTAAGAGAGGCTTTCAGAGCTCAGAGAACAAGGTCACTGAACTAACTATTTACAGAGAGTAACAAGGAGGGAACAAATGCCTTATTTGACCACCTGTGTTATTCTTCCACTCAACAAAACCCCCTGTGGAAGGAAGGTCAGCAGAGCCATGGGCAGGGGTAAATGTGGCATCATAGTTAAAACAAGACACAAAGCAATGTCTCTTAGATCACCAAGATCAAGGCATAAGGCAAATCTCCCAGCCCAAACCACCAGGAAAGATAAATAAAAGTAGCACTTCTGTGTCACAGGGATGTTGTAAAGTTTGTTGTTATCTAAACCACCAGCTTCTCAGACGGATGTTGTCAAAAACAAGCATCCCATAGGAACACATTCTGTGAGCCACTACATTAATCTATGACCAAGAGCAAGAGCAGAATTCCCTCTACACTGGAAAAAAATTCCCCTTTAGTGCAAACTCAGTTACTCTTCCCCAGTTTGCATCTAACTGCTCATATGCCATCGACCTCAGAAACAGATTTTCTTTTAAATAAATGGGCTGACTGCTTTTCAAACACACGTTCAGTGTTTCTGAGCAGAGCCAAATATAATAACAACATAAGATAAAAGACACCCTGTGCAGCCTTATGCCTCATTCTCCCTGCAGTACCAGGTTTAACTTCAATTTTCTGTAGCTGTAATCAATGCCAAAGGTGCCTCGCAGGCCACGCATTGCTTGAGACTGACAGGCACAGGACCACCAGACAGGCAGCTCCCACTAAATTTAACTCCATTTGTGGCTACCTGCAGACTGACAGGATCTTTGTAAGTCTGGTCAGATTGCAACCCTCTCCTTCGTCTGAAGCTGAAAATGCACACGGTGTATTAAAGAGAGATCTTCACCATAAAAGCACGTACAAACAAGTCACCATGGAGGGCACTAAATTTCAAATAAACACCTTCCTAGTTCCTCTGTCGTCCACATATCTGTCCACATATGCATGTGCTTTGATCTCGGAGTAAATGAGATTTCCTCTGTTCTCACCAAGGTATAAGCTACCTTGGACTACTTCACATATACCAAGGAATAGGATATGCAGCCACAGAGTCACCCCTGGGTACTGAATATGCTGTAGGTTCACAGCTGAACTTGTCCCCATGATAATTTATTCATTTGTGTGCAGCTGATGCATAAGCATGAGCTACCTTGAGGTTAAAAACATTTTAAAAAAAAATAAATACAGTGAATACCACCGGACTGGTTGGATTAGGTGAGGTCAGCATTTAGCTGACTTTAAAAGTTTGCCTTCTGACATCTTTTTTACTTTTTAATGTGTCTTTTTCACATTTTTAAAAATCTCATGGGTATTTTGCACTTGCTTATAGAGACACACATTATTCTGAGTTGTGACAAGACTTTAAAGTACATCAGCTACTGCATCTAAAAGAGAAATAGCATGATCTCACTGCCGTCTACTTGACATATGTCATTAGAAGGCTCACAATTTGTTTGTGAAAATGCAAACAGAAAATGGCCAGATATGGCATATATTTATTAAGCTCCTCCCAGTGAAGCTGATTTCTCCTGCCACACTCCCTAATACAAGTTATCGGGCAGGACCTCACATTGCTTCAGCCTCAGCACGTCGACTTACCAAAGAAACTGCCCTGTCCAATCCAAGTCAAACACTGATTTCAGCTGATGAAAGGAAGGAGCTGTGCTGGCCCCTGTCCACAGCACGTGCGCTGGCGACTCACACTTCCCCTTGGTGCTCAGCCAGCGCCTCAGCCTGCCTTAGCAGGAACCATCTGTGGGGATGAAAGAGCACCTCAACTTCCAAATTTACTTCCAGCCTTGAGAGCAGCCAGACTCCTCTCTCCTCCAGGAACCACTAAATAACACAGCACACGGCTTCCTGAACAGGCAGGCTCTGCCAGGGGCAATCCCTGTGTCCATGTGCTCTGGGGTTTCTCGTTTTCACTACATGTTGTCTGGAGCATTCTGATCACAGACCAGATTTAATGGTGGATAATAAGGCAATTCCTATGAGAACACTTCTAAGGTGTTTGCATCCTGGTTGGTCACATACTGCTACTCAGGTCTTAGTAATAGTAATGGCCATAATTAGCTCTTATACAGCACTTCCCTCTTTTTATAATTTTTCCTAAGATACGTAGGTGTAGAGGGCTTTCACCTCATTTTAAGGACAGGGAAACCGAGGTATTGAAAGAGAGGTAATGATGAAATGTAAATGCCAGCAGTAACATGAGGCACAAAACCAGGTCTCCTCCATCCTAGCTGGGTGCTTCAGGCAACACAGCTGGGAAGCTCCATATCCCATTACCCATATACCGAGTCACCGAGTTCCCCCAGCAAGGATCTTATTTTTCATTATGGAGTGAAAAATAAAACAAGCCACAGGGCTCTAACTCCTCCTCCAAGCCAGAGACAACACGGCCAGAAATTTCTGTGGCAAACAACACAGTGCAAATGCAGTGTGAGCAGAGTGGCAGCAGCCAGCCCGTGGAGGTGCTGGAGCTGTGGTATCACTCATTACCGGGAGAGAGGGGCAGCGTTACCTCAGCTGTCAGAAAACAGGCTGGCTGCTGATTAATCCAAAACGCTGCTGTTGAGATGAGCGACCTCGTGGTCACCAGAGTCCTCAAACAAAATGTAAAGGTTCAAAAAGAAGGCATTACAAATATCTACCTTTAGTTCTCATCAGGTCTTGGGGATGGGTTCAGTAATGCTTAAGTCTATTATTTTGTGTGTCCATTGCCAGCAATATAAGAGATCTCTGAAATTCAAGTTGTTAGTACTAAGGATTAAAGCAGACAGGGTAACTGAATTTCATACCTTTTTTTTTTTTTTGCCAGCATGTGAGATCAAGGACTCAGCAGTCTTCTACAGAGGGAAATACCTGTGAACTCAAACATGCCTACTGTCCACCGCTCTCCACTACCTGTTAGTTCTAAAAACAAGGCCCAAGAAGCTACTCAGCAAGCCCAAAGGAATAAAACTACAGGCCCTGCTAAACAGCACCCAAGAAGGTAAGTAAGAGAACCCAGGTGTTTTTTGATTGCTTTTAAGCAAGATGAGAAGACACCAAAAAACCTTAAAAGAACCAGAGCAGTCAGAGCTGTTGAACCCAGGATCACAGCCCCTAGATTTCATTATTTCAGCCTGAAAGCACCCCAGGAACTGCTCTGGCAAACCAGAACTGGGCCAGGCTCTGGGCATGTCTCCCCCTCCACAGCACCCCCAGGCATTGCCCCTGCACCCCACACCTGCAGAGCACTGCCTGGGTGCTTCACCCAGCCATCCCCGGTCACAGCCGGCATGGAAAGGAGCACAGGGAGCTGCAGTGGGACCAAACCAGTCTCTCTCCATCATGGCATGGCACCTTATCCTGACCAGGGCTGGCACTGAGGAACTTCCCCATGGGGCACAGTCCTGGCTGCCCAGCACCTCACTGCACACCCACCTGGTCCCTCAGAGGCTGAGGGGCAGCTGTAGCAGCTTTAGGGATGGCTGTGACCCTGCTCCTGTTGAGAGGCTCCTCTATCCTCACAGTCCCCTCACAGCTCTGAAGCCCCCTCCCAAAATGGCCACCCACGAACTGCCCACATGGCCGCCCCACAAAATGGCCGCTGCCCCCCACAACCGCCCCACAAAATGGCCACCGCCCCACACAGAGGCACAGACAGTCCCCGAGGCGCCATGCTTTATTCTGAGGGGTGGAGGGCACAGTAAGGGGGCTGGGGAGGACAAGGAAGACAAGGAGTGGAGAGGGTGTTTGCAGACTGGCAGGGCCAGGCTGGGTAGCACTAGCAGGAGGTGAAGGTTTTCCAGAAGAAGTTCTTGCAGGGCGCCTTGCGCTCCCGCTGCGAGAGCTGGGCGAGCCGGCCCAGTACTGCCCGCTCCTCCTCCAGCTTGCCCTCCTCCTCCAGGTCCGGGGCAGCAGCCTCATGCCCCATATCCACGCCGTCCAGCAGGCCTGCCAGCATCTTCAGGATGGCATCCTTCCGCACTGTGCTCTGTTCCTGCGGGTAGAGAGCGGGGAAAGTGACGCACGGAGGGCCTGCCCCCGACAGCCATCGAGGTCCCTTCGTGTCCCCCTGCCATCCCTGGTGTCCTGCCCTCGGAGCCAATGCTTTTCCCATTGGCAGAGCTGTGACAGAGCTGAGGGATATGTGGCTGCTGAGGGCACTGCTCCCATCTCCCCTCCCTGTCCAGCTCAGCCAGCTGGACCCTCACATGTGCCATGTTACAGCTGGAAAAGAGCTGCTAACAAATAGGCTTGAATTGGCTGTGAAGTCCCTCACTGCTGGCACTAATTAAATTTCAGTGAATGCCAAGCTGCCTCTTCCCCTGGTCAGCCCATGCTCCCTTCACTGCTCTGACTGCCAGGCATCCACCTTGGGAAGGTCAGGGAAAAGGCACAGGGGCCTGGGAAGAGGCACAGAGTCCTGAGCAATATTAAATTAAGCTCACGGGGGGATGTACTCCACTGTAAAATGAAACACAGCAAGGAGAGGGATGCCCCAAAATCTGCAGCAAAATATTGCATCAGTGGAGACAGGCAGCTGCATTTCTAGAACAAGAACCTGTGTTTCCATAGCCTGACCCTGGGGGAAGGTGGGATGAAATGGGAGCCGCTGAGCTCCATCCCTTTGCTGTAGCAGAGCCTGTGTTTTGGGGTTTGAGGGATTTCTGCCAGTACAAGCTGTGAGTTGTCGTGTTTCTCTCAACTTTACATCCAGCAAATCTGAGGAATTATCTCGTGCCTGAGCATTTCTGGTCTCTGTGGCTCCTTAGCAGGGACAGCTGGTACTGACCAAGCTGGGATAGATGGTTTGACAGGAACAGATCCTGTTTCCCATGTGGATGGGAATCTTGGAAGCATATTTTCATGTCAGTCCTCACAAATGCCATATTTACTGCTGGGACTGCTGTCTCTGTCAGCACCAGCATTCACTAAGGACCACTTGGTGAGCAACTCAAAAGATGGATAAATACAGGCAGCAGCAATTATCCTGAGTTTACATTACAGAAGGTTTATGGGCATTTTTTAATCACTTTCTTAGCTCTAGTAACAAGCCTTGCTTCTGCACAAGGGGAACCGAGGCACAGAAAAACTCCACGCTGTATTTGTGGCAGAAGAGAAGGTAAAGCCAGTTTGTGCTCATTCTGATTCCTCCTCCTGTGCTGCAAGTACAGAAGTGCCTTGAGCCTTTGGGAGATAGACTGGGACAGGGGAACCCCCTAAGTGTGTCTTCTGGGTCATATGTTCCTCGGAAGCTTCTTTCCTAGCTGTAAGTGCTCTGTTTGGAAATAACCGAACAGAGCCAGCGGCCTCAGACTGAGGGGTGGGGAAGGCAAAGCTCAGCCTGTGTTAGGGGATATTCCTTCTGCCTGATCAGCTGTGGCTGTCGGTGAAACCTGTCAGCTCTTCCCTGCACTAATCCACTGCTCACATCCTTTCTGCCTGGAGCTGTGCTCAAAGAGATCCACACTCTCTGGGAGCAGTTTGACATCTCAGCACGGTGAGTTGGGGCAAACCTTTGGGGAGCTGCTCCATTCCCTGAGCTCCATCCATCAGTGCATCAGAGAGAACACATCTTCTGCATTGTAATGCATTTTATAGGGGCTTATATGTAAAATCCCAATGTTTTCCTTACTTAAAACATCTGTCTGAGTTACAGCAGTGGTGACTGCAGGGATTGGTTCGTCAGTATCTAACAGTTTTTCAGTTTGTAGAATGCTCTATAATAGATATAATGATTCTCTTTAATTGTATCATTATTTTGTAAGCAACAGTGCACAGAAGACTAAGAGTCATTACACTCAAATTAATTTTTACCAAAGCCTTATTTATCAATTTATTCCCTACAATTTGTTTCTTTTTTTTTCCCCAGCAGCTGGGATTTGCACCAGAATTTACTTCTTAAAAAAAGAGTTTACTTTTTAAGTGCTGGGTTCGTTACTGTAAAAATGCGGAGCTGAAAGTTTCCAGTTATCCCCAGAAGGGTTAATCCCAGGCAGCTGCAGGAGCCCTGATCTGACAGAACTCCAGCCCCAGCACCTCACACTGTGCACGGTTCTTTCTTGCAGCCAGTTTTGTTGTTAATGGGATGTGAGCCCACTCCTGGAGCAGCGAGACACTGATGGATGAGCTGGAGCCAACACTAAGACAGAAAAAACGCTGTGGACACGCACAAAGGAGAAGTTGGTGCCTGTGAAACCAACACTGGGATCCTTCCCTTCTCTGGAATAACAGCAGCCTTATGGATACAGCCTGAACTGGACTGATGACTAACCAGAGCTCAGAGGAACATCAGGGATGGCAGGGAACAGGCAGGTGAGAGAACTGCGGGGTGAGGGCAAGAAAACAGGGCTTGTAATCATGTTATGCTATTGCTTCCTACCCCTTTGGCCTCTTAGGGAAACAGCATGGCAAAATAAAGTTATTACAGTGCTCTAGCCATTATAATATTAGGGTTTTGCCAGTCGGTAGGGTAATTATACTGCTATAATAAGTTCTGCCACTGCATAGAGCTGTGCTGGTTCAGAGTGTAATTATTCTAGCAGAACTATGTCAGTATAACTCCCCTTGTGAATACTACTCTGGAAAAAGCAATTTTATTCTGATATAATTACTTCATTTATGATTCCTCTGTTACTTTCCTACTGAACCCATCTTTTAAACATTTGTCCTTCCCATGAGTCCTATTTAAAATATCATCTCCCTTGATCATTTTACCAATTATGTATCTTTTCTCTCCCTCCCTAGTACTCTGCTTTATTCTCTCATGCTGTACCATTTCAGTAATATTTTCTCCTTTTCCCTCTGCTCTCTCCTGTTCATTTTGCCAGTTTTTGCTTAGCTCAGACTTCACTTTTGCAGCCCCTGGCATCTGGTACCTTTCTAAATCAGCTGGGTAGAGCTGTAGAAACAGCCCCAGGGTCAGCAGCGAGAAAAGCTGTAGTGCCTTGGAATATAGAGGGGTGGGAGAGTTGTTTGCACCAGGTAAAGCCTAACTGCCCTTATCCCCCCTCCCCTGGCTCTGTCCTCACCCAACTCCTTCCCAGGGTGGTTTTACTCACCCTGGTGCTCTGGATGGCCAGTCTCTCTTCCCCAGGCAGTGCCGTGGCTCTCACAGTCCACACCAGCAGCAGCACAGACACCAGGCTGGCCACCAGCTGCATGATGCACAGGCTGGGACTGGTGCTGAACGAGGAAGACTGGGAGAGGGAGCTGCTCCTGGGCTCTCTTCTGCCTCAGACAATGGCTGCAGCCCCTTTTATAGCCCTCCCCCAGCCCAGTGGGTGACGCAAACAATTAAGTCTATATCAAAGGCAAATTAGACTTTGGAGAGGTTGTTAACACTTGGCTGCTTGAGTGGGATACTTCAGTGCCTCTGGGCTCTCCATGTGCCAGACCTGCAGAGATTGAGGAAGCAAAGGCTTGGGACACTCCAGTAACATGCTGTTTCTTCACTCCAAGAAATTGCAGGCACTATCTGTGCCTCTCCTAGTTAGCTGGATTCTGTTTGGGTAATAATGTTGGGTAGAAGAGGCCACCAGCTTACACAAACCTGGATGATTCAGAGGGAAGAGGTAAAACTTCTGGCCACCAGTACTTAGATATGGTCTTGGACCCTCAGCTGGTGTGTCCAAACAGCTCCAGGCTTTCAGGGTATTTGGATCTGGGTCTCTGCATCCAGCAATGCATCTCACTGTGGGATGCCAACACGCCTGGCTTTCCCTGTGGGGTAACATGGGGACAGAGCTGCAGCTGTGCAGTTATATCCCCTCTCTAGAAAATGCACATCAGATCACCTGGAAGCCAGCTGGGGTTTATGGGGTCTTGTTTCTAGTGTTGCTTCAATCCCTCTTGAACCTATGCCAGGAGTGTAGGTCAACACAGTGGAGATGCTGGGTTTAAATGTGTTAAAAACCAAGTACTGAAAGGCTGGAACTGCTCTACCCTGAGAGGCTTAAAAAGGCTCATGCTCTGCTGGCACTGACCACAGGCTCCTTGGAGTGTGTGTTCCTACCACTCCTGGTCAGCAGTTAATAATGCCTCTTCCTTGCCCCAAAAGCTGTCCCAGCAGTGGAAATGGTCCCTGGGCCAGTAGAAAGTGCTGTTGAGCACTGCTGTCTGCATTGTCCCCATCACTTGACAGTGACATGCCTGTGAGATGCAGAGCTGAGATCCCAGCTCACCACCAGCCCTTTCTCCAGGAGCACTTGCCTCAGGGCAAGTCTTCCCCTGACCCTAACAACAAACGACAATCAAAAGATAAATTGTTATCCTAATTTAGCACATTAAAAAAAAAAACCACAGGGAGGTGACTTGGCCAGGGGATGCTGTGGCAGAACTAAGAACAGAAGGCAGAAAAACCTGTTCCCCATTTCTCGCTCTTACCAGCATTACAGATCCTGGAAACAGCATGATGGAACCTTGCCTGCAAATAATCCAGCTCCTAATGCCAGCTGCACCAGCTCTTGAGGGAAAAGATGCCACCACTTCCATGCACACTGTAAAAGAAATGCTGATTCCCTCATTGAAAGACAGAAAAACCCTTTTCTGAGTCACAGAGTCTTGTGGGGGAAAAGTAAC